GATTACAAATCATTTGATTTATATGTACTTAAAGAAGCCTATTTGGTTTATAATCTTACCAGTGACAGTCATGATATCAAACCCAGAGCTACCTTCACTACCAAACAAGTATTTATTGCGTCATTAGATTTGTTTTGACATGCATTTTGATGCTATCATGGTTGAACTTAATTTATAAATCAAAATGGACTCAAGCCGTTATAGCGTAATAACATGCTTTACCTCAGTATTTTTCAAATAGGCAGTGTCACCGGTTCATTCATTAAAAGTTGAACAAAGAATTCCAAAATATTTTGTCATCCATATCTGTCAGCATACTACATTGTCTTGATTTTCCAGATTATTGATACTTCATTTCAGTTGTTTAATACCACTTCCTTTCTGTATGTAGGGATGGAATGAAGCTTTAGGCATGTCCAAGGGTAAAAGTGATCATTGGGCACTATATGCAAAATCAGTTCTTGATAGAACTCGCCTTTCACTTGCCAGCAAGGCTGACTGGTACCAGAGAGTGTTGCAACCGTCAGCAGAGTATCTTGGATCTTTACTAAGTGTTGACCACTGGGCTGTATGTGATATATAGCTTTAAGCACACAACTTTCTCTTTCGTATTATGTTTTGTGTAGCTACTATGCTTTTGATCTCATTACCATATAAGAAAAGGATAAAATAATCTCGATTTATCACTTTTGCAGGTGGATATATTTACAGAGGAAATGATTCGTGCTGGATCAGCTGCAGCTTTATCCTTACTTCTTAATCGACTTGATCCAGTTCTTCGCAAGACAGCTAATCTTGGAAGGTTGGTACATTATTATTGGCTTATGAACTGACTCTAGCCAAAACCTTAGAAAGTTAGAAATGTTAATTGCTGTTACTGATAATGGAATAAATTGAATTGAAGTTAGTTTTGTATAACAACCCTTAGAAAGTTAGAAATGTTAATTGCTGTTACTGATAATGGAATAATTTGAATTGAAGTTAGTGTTATATAACAAGTATTGGACATAAGATTGTGTTCTTGTTCCAGATAGTAATCTTCTAACTCAACTTTGCTCGCCTGGAACAGTTGGCAGGTTATCAGCCCAGTTGAAGTTGTTGGATATGTTGCTGTTGTGGATGAATTGCTTACTGTACAGGATAAATCTTATGATCGGCCTACAATTTTAGTGGCAAGGCATGTAAGAGGAGAGGAAGAAATACCTGATGGTACAGTTGCTGTGTTGACACCTGATATGCCAGATGTGCTATCACATGTTTCAGTGCGAGCAAGAAATAGCAAGGTAATCAACTACTTTTTGAATTTTTTGTCTGCATTTTTACAGTTTAGATGGGTGACTTTCTTTTGGTTGGTAAATTGTTACTTACAGGTTTGCTTTGCTACATGCTTTGATCCCAATATTTTGGCTGAGTTCCAAGCAAATGAAGGGAAAATGTTGCGCCTAAAACCTACATCTGCAGATGTAGCATATAGGTATTTCTATTTGCAATTTTGTGCTGGAAATGGTTATATGCACTGTAATGAACCGGAGAAATTAGGAAATTGAGTTCAATTCGCTGATAACTTTCCCCTACTGCTTTTTTCAACCTGTAAACTTGCATAAATAAAAATAAATGAAATTTAATCTTGTTTTCTTCTTCGTCTTTTATCTCAGTGAGGTGAAGGACAGTGAGCTAGTAGATTCAAGTTCAGCTAAACTGAAAGAAGATGGTCCTTCTTCAATAACTTTGGTCAAAAAGCAATTTGCTGGTAGATATGCCATAACGTCTGAGGAGTTCACAAACGAAATGGTTAGCTTTACAAACTCTGATTTTGTTTTTCATAAAAAAAGAAATAATAGAGGAAAAATCTTATACTGTCTTTTTGGATATGTAATGGAGTGAAAAGATCAGAAAAAATTTCAAGTAAAGTTCTTCAAAATATGCATAATTTGCGAGGAATCATTTCTGCAGGTTGGTGCTAAATCCCGTAATATAGCATATCTAAAAGGAAAAGTACCATCTTGGATTGGGATTCCGACATCTGTTGCCCTACCGTTTGGAGTATTTGAGAAGGTTCTTTCAGATGATATAAATCAGGTAATTGACATCTCTGAAATCTAAAATATCTAATGTTCTGAGAATACAATTTCTTAATCAGAACCATGTAATTAGTTATCTTCTGGGGATAACAGTTTATGTAAATCTAGCACTGAGAAATCTGATTTTATATTTGCATTTTGTAGTTTAGTCTATCTTGGACTTTGTTCAGATGCTTAATTTGTAGTAAGATTGAGAGAAAGATTTATAAGAGCATATGTTGGAGACGCAGCTCTATGTTTAATAATTGCAGTGAACAAGTTAAAAATACTACTAGGATAATTGTGTACAGCTGTCCTGATATCTACTTCGTATCAACTTCTAAATAGTGATGAAATGATTTTTTGCTTTGTCTGATGGATATTCTCTCTTCCTCAATTGGCAGGCAGTGGCTGAGAAGTTGCTACTATTGAAGAAAAAGTTAGGAGAAGATGATTATAGTGCTCTCAGAGAGATTCGTGAGACAGTTTTACAGCTGGAGGCACCATCCCCATTGGTATGTCATGTTGATCGCAAGGGATGATTTATATTTTCTTAACAACAATTTGTATAGATGACTATAATTCTAGGCAAGTATATCTTATATACTTGATATATAATTGCCTAGAACAATATTATTAGGCGGCAATATACATGTGAGCCTTGTGTGAGGAGATTTTCCTTAAACGTTTCATCTCTCCTCCCTCCTACCAAAGCAAAGGTGGAATGCTGATTGGCTCTATTTGGTGCTATAATCATTTATAGAATATGTATTTAAATTCATTACTTTCTTTGGTTGCCAAAGGCCCTGGATAGGGCAGAACAAGGGAAAATTAATTTACATGACAAAATAGTAGTTTGTGATTGAGGTTTAGCTAAGTCGAGGGTTGACACAACCCAGAATAGAGCCTGCTGTTACATAGATCTCCCACATAACTTCATGGTGTCCAAAAATCATTTATCTTTTTTGTTTCTTGGTAAACATAGAAATTAGTGCTTCCATCAGAAAATCTGTGGGGATCTTCTGGAAGATTTAATTGAACTGATAACTTATAAGTCTGAGTTGTTTCAGGTGCAAGAACTGAAGACCAAGATGAAAAGTTCTGGAATGCCTTGGCCTGGTGATGAAGGTGAGCAGAGATGGGAGCAAGCATGGATGGCTATAAAAAAGGTATAGTGCTTTGCCTGCATGGAAGAAGAATATAAATTCGGACATCACACTTAACTCAGTTAAAGTATTCTAATTTCCATATCCTAATGTTCTGCATGCTTGCATTCCAGGTTTGGGCTTCAAAATGGAATGAGAGAGCCTACTTCAGCACAAGAAAAGTGAAATTAGATCATGATTATCTCTGCATGGCTGTCCTGGTTCAGGAAGTAATCAATGCTGATTATGCTTTTGTCATCCACACAACTAATCCATCTTCAGGAGACTCATCAGAGATATATGCCGAGGTATTTTATTTTAGCGTGTTTTCCCTACTGGTCTACAAAGTAATCCGTCAGGAGTGAAAAAAAAAAAGGATTAATTTATTGCTCCCTTCTTGGATTAGGTGGTGAAGGGACTTGGAGAAACTTTAGTTGGAGCTTATCCGGGCCGCTCTATGAGTTTTGTCACCAAGAAAAGCAATTTGAATGCTCCTCAGGTAAACCATCTTCATTTTAGAGCTGAGAATGCACATGAAGGATATGTAATATGGAACTACTTGCTTGGCTTGTTTGATCTTTAAGAGCTGTTTGTTTCCCTATCAAATTTGTAACACAAAACATGAAACTGTTGCATGAAGAATGCAATGGTTTTGTTCATCATTATGTAGAATGAGAAACACAGCAGCACAATTTTTTGCCGTTTGTTCTAAGTGTTGACAAATTTCAGGTTTTGGGTTATCCCAGCAAACCCATTGGACTCTTTATAAGACGATCTATCATCTTTCGGTCTGATTCCAACGGTGAAGATCTAGAAGGTTATGCTGGGGCAGGACTTTATGATAGGTAAATTCCTAAATTCTTCCACTGACAAGGGCAGGTATAGAGAGCTTTTATAATAGTCGTGTTATTTTTTCCAAAGCTAATGTGTGATGCTGTCTCATCTTTCAAATAAATAATGTTCATGAAATCTCATGTTTTGCATTCTGTTACCTTAAACTTCAATGCTAATTTAAACTTCTCTCTATGCAGTGTGCCTATGGATGAAGAGGAGAAAGTTGTGCTTGATTACTCATCTGATCCTCTAATCATGGATGGCAACTTTCGACAATCAATCCTCTCTTCCATTGGTCGTGCAGGACATGAAATTGAGGAACTCTATGGAACTCCACAAGACATTGAAGGCGTCATTAAGGAAGGGAAACTTTACGTCGTCCAGACAAGACCTCAGATGTGACACCACTTATTATTGTTCTTTCAGCCGTTTTATTTTTCCTGGTGAGACTTTGTTAATGAAAAAGCTATACCAGCGAACAAACTAATAATAAGGAATAGAGGGCAACCTAAAAGAAATAAAATTTATAGGGATTATTTATATAGGAGATAATATTTGGTGGGGGAAATAAACTTATACAACTGAATCACATGTATGATTCATTTGTAAATGTAACCCGGAATGCCGGGATGCTTTTCTTTTAAGAAAGACTGCTGTATATAAATATAATTCGCTTGTGCAGCGAACCTAACACGAGGGTTGGAGTTACAAGATTTTTAGTTGTTCTTTCTTTTCAAACCTCTGTTATTTAAGTTATATCGACTTGGTTTAATGATACACACCAATCCATATAACATATTTGGTGTTGAAAATTTTAATCGGAACTTTTTGACGTTGAAGTTTTAACAAAGTTGTGGGATATTAGTAGTGCCTAATGAGCTTCTTCAAGAAGTATCAACATCAAAATACCATGAACATGAACCGTCAAATTATAGATTCTTAAATTAAAGCATAGGTCTTAACATACCAGAGATATCCAAATAAGATGATGAAGAGAGGTATTTTCAATATGAAAATTATTTAAGCTTATTCTATAAGCATGAACATGCATTTTGCTGTTGATATTTCTGGATATGACAAGAGTTTACAAACTGATAATTCATTTCTTAGGTCGGACATCCCTCCGCACTGAATCGTGAAACATTCATCCACACTTCATTCAGACGACCGGTAAGGTGACGGGAAGCATTGTACTGAGCAATTGTGTAGGAAGTTTTATCTTGTGGAGCTGTTGTGTTCCCACTGAAGTATTTATTGAGGCTATCAGCAAGAGCTTCAGCTTCTTTATTAACGTTATCATCCTTGGCGAATCCGGTAAAATTCCTGACGGCTACACAGTGACTTCTCCACTCGTCAATCTGTATATTCAGTTCGGATTTAGGCTGTGGAGGAGATCTATTAACAGGCAGATACATTCTCACAAAATATGCAGAACCATCTGCCAGTGGGCTGACACTTGTTAAGACAGGAGCCGTCACTGCAAATTGAGAAGCGTCGAGATTAGCTCCATGAATGTATTGATACAACCTGGTGAACAATAATGTGATCAATTTAATTATATAGAGACAAATGATTTTATAAATAAAATCTGAAGTAGAGATTTAAAACACATAAGATTATAGAGGTCAAGGAAATTAACCTGTGAAAGCCTGCTTTGGTTGAGTTGAGGAAGGAAGTTCCACGGACAAAAGCAGAGACCCACCAGGATTCTTTATAGAGTCTGATCTGAAAATCAGAATCTGAGTGAATCACGGTGTATTGTGGGGATTCAACTGCATGAACTGACAGCACGATGTTATTAGTATTCAGGTAGACAAAACATGCAAGAAGAAGAATTGAGACCACAGGAAACTCCATCTTGGTAGTTTTTGTGATAAATGAAAATGCTAATAATGGTTTTGGCTTAGGTTTATATAAGCAAGACAAACAGTCCGCAACAGGAACTGGAGTATGGTGCTATATTTATAAGCAAAGATGAGACATGAGTTGCTGAAATTGGTAGTAAATGCACGTAGCAATAATCTGGTGATAAAACCTGAACCTGATACTTGTGGAAGTTGAACATTACGTCAGTCAACAAATTGAGCAACGCTGACCATAAGTGTTCAGGTGCAACTGCCTGCTTTTTCCACCACCATCTCATGATCTTTACATTTTATACATCACAGATTTTTATATAAGATTAATCTAAAGAGGGTTTAAATAAGATTAATCTAAAGGGTTTTCAGATTACATCACAGATTTTTATATAAGATTAATCTAAACTGGGTTTAAAAGTGTTTTTAGCAACATAGGGGAAGATTTTCATAAAATACCCCGAGGTTTGCCTATAGGGGGCGTTTGGTTGGGGTTTATGTGGGATTACTGAGGTAATGTCATCTTATATTACTTGATTATCATGTTTGGTTGTCAAGTAATATAAGATATCAGTTATCTTCAAGTACCAATAATGATTACTATTGGTAATATGGGAGGTAATCTGATTATCTCTATTTTCTTAGGTATTTTGAAATTATAAGGGTTATCATTTTTTGTTATATTTTTATCCCTTATTAATAAAAAATTTGGACAATAATACCCCTACTTTAAAACAAATTTACATTAATATCCTATTTCAATTTTACCCCTGTTAATTAAAATTTTGGACAATAATGTCCTTATATTTAAAATAATTTATAGACCACTACTGCCGTCAAGCCACCACCACTATCACCCAGCCACCACTGCCGGCTAGCCAACCACCATGGGTCGCCGCCGGAAAATCACCGGAGTCCCCAAAAAAGAACGAGATTCGGTGGGAGACTCTGGGAGGCTTCGATATGGCCGTTTCTGGCCATATTGATGGCCAAAAACTGCCATATCCGGCCAGATTGATAGAACTGGCTGTTGACGGCCAGGTCTAGGCGAGATCTGGCCCTAATAGATATGGCCGTTAACGGCCATGTCCGTGGCCTTTAACGGCTAGATCTTGCCTAGACCTGACCGATAATGGCTAGGGATCTGGCCATTCTCGGCCAGATCTTGCCTGATATGGCCGTTTTCAGCCATCAATATGGCCAGAAACGGCCATATCGGAGCCTCTTTGTCATGGTGATGTACTCACAGTTACTTTCGAAGATTCCTGACAGTGGTTTGCGGTGGCGGCAGGCGGCGGCATGAGGTGGGGGTGATTTCGTCATAAATTAAAGTTTTATATAAGCGGGGGTGTTTTAGCTAAATCTGAAATATTGGGGGTTAAAAAATTATTCAAAAATTAATAATAAAAATAATCTTATATTAATATTTAAAAGGGGGACAATTTAGTAATTTAAATAACATACCTACCAATTTATTCCCCATAACCAAACATATTAATATAACATACCTACCAACTAATCAAACACATTTTTTTAAAGATTCCTAGTAATCTTCCAAGGTAATCTATCTTTCTAGTAATCCAACATTTCCAGTAATCTAACATTCCTGAACCAACGCCCCCATAATATTCATCAAACTTGTGGTACTTTTGGGCGAAATTATCAAAATGTACCCCTAAACCATAATGCTGTCCAATTCCGTTAATATAAGATATCCCGTATAAATAATCAGAGTTAATATTGTTGTAATCACTGTCAGATTAACTAAACTATCCCTTACATGTTAATAGAATTGCATGGCGTTAGGGTTTGGGGTATATCTTGATATTTTTGTCCAAAAATGCCATAAGTTTATTGAATAGGCAAGCCTCAGGGGCGCAACATTAGTGAGTTTTTAATAAATAATCAAAATGGTTTTCATAATTGTACTTATAATATTGTTAATGTATACACTTGTAAGATTAAAGCTTGTCTAGGGTTTCTTAGGTTGAGATATTTATTTTGTAGAAGGTTTTTAAAAGTATAATTAAGTGCATTTGTAAAATCGAACATTGTTTAATAATAAAATGAGATAAGATCAACCGCTTTCAGTCATCATGTAAAACGAGAGAGCAATGTGTATGATTAAGGTTTTCTTGTTTTAACTTTTAAGAGAACTTTGGTTCATATATCACTGATTCTTCACAAAGAATCTAAATCACTAAACCCTACAAACTGATTAACTACTATTTTAAAAATAAAAACAAGTGAACCATAAGGTGTGACCTAGGTGGTAATTGAACTCCAAATAAAGCAAATTTTACTTGCAATGTCAAGGTTTAAATCGCATTGGAGTCACTCTATGATTAGGGGTAGTCTCATATATTCAGGTATGGGGAGACTCGAGGCTTTCATATAAAAAAAAAAAAAATTGTAACTAAGTAATTAAAAATTCTGAGAACATGAATTTTATTTATAAAAAATTGATAAAGATTCCATTATTGAAGTATTTGTTGTTAAATAATAAGCACTTTTCTTAAAAGTTTATTTTAGCCAAAGGCTTTGGTGCACACAAAGCTAAAATGATTGGATGTTAACGAAATGTTGAGTCATAAGCGGGTTTGAGTCGTGTCAACTTCATCTTATATTATAGCCTACCAACCCAGTTTATCTAAAATACTAAACTCACCACATGCGCAAAAAATATGCATATAAAAATCAGATATCCAACTCTAAAATCTGTAATGATCCTCTCTCCATTGAGTCCATTCTTTTCTAGCAGTTTCCCCAACAAAAAGACAAAACACAAAGGAATCAAATATACGGCCATACATTAGAATCGCTGCCATAACCCATTCATCAAATTAGTGGCTTACCAAGGTGCTGCCTGCCATTATCTTCTCCTAGTGCTGATAAAAAATTAATTTATATATGTTTCTTTTCTAAGTTATACGAATGATATTTCATTTAATAACTTCTTTTTCTCTCTACTCCTGATCACACAAGAGTTTAAGACTTTAAACTTGAGTTCGCATGGAAAGTGTTTCTGTTGGCTGCGTGAAAGGTATATCGACAAGAGCTTCACTTAAACTGGGAGGCTACCATGCCGGGGAAAACCCACTTGCACCCCCTATAATGCTTAAGTCAGATATTAAAAATAAAACAAAAACAATTGGAAAAAGAGGATTTTCTATGAGAAATTTGAGTTTACCCTTGCCGGTCTCTTGTAGGATTTATATAATCTTTGCCTCTGAACATGAGGAGAATTTTTTTTTTTTTTTTTTTTGGGGGTTATATTGTCATGATTTTGGTGGCATGTTGACGCCTAAGATGGTGGCTAATGACCACGTTTTGGCTAGAAATGTTTAGAAATGGTGGTGAATTAATCTTTCAAAATATTAGTGGGAAGTAGGGATAGACATTTTCCAAACCCCGTTGGGGACCCAACCCGTTCGAGACGGGGATTCCCCGACAAGTCCAATGACATTCCCCACCCTCAGGGTTGGGTCGAGGACGGAGGTGGCCATGTCCCCAGCTCACCCCATCCTCGGTTCCTAATTAGATAATTTTTATATAATTATGTATTAAGTGTTTTCTATGAGATAAATACACAATTTTAATCTTATTTAGCACTTAATTGATCTTAGGAATCAATTTACTTAACCCATACTTCATTTGACCTAATTAGATAATTTGATGCTTTCTCTTCTAACAATTGATACAATTTGTAATTTACAAAATGGATTAATGAGATTAGTAATTGATAGAGTTAATTAAAATTTATAATATGGATACATGAAGCAAGTTCAAGAGCATCTTTATTATTATTATTATTATTATTATTATTATTATTATTATTAACACATAGTAAGACATTTTTTAACTATTGGATGAAAACACTTTAAATAATTGAGATTCAACACTAATTACACAATTAATATACAGTGATGACATAAACTTTATATGATTTCAACCATTCGAACACTTAAATGAAGGGTTGAAAAATAGCATCAAAACTTGTGTAAAAATACAAAATTCTTGAACTTAAGCTCTACATTTATCTATAAATTATGACATTGTTAATTATATGAAAAGGTTTATGAACTATAAACAATTAAGTAGGTAGAATAATAAATACATGGGGAAAAGAAACAACTTGGAAAGGTGTGAATTTTAAATAGTTGGGAAGAATAAGAAGAAAGAAGCATTTTTGTCCAATAATAGTAAATATCAATAAAAACATGCTTTCCTTTCCTAAACCATGCATCAAAAATTCAAAATTATCTAAATTAATTAACAAAAATGCTTGTTAGATCAATTGATTTGGATAAAATAAGGATATATTTCACTTTTTATAGGGTGATTCATGTATAAAAAACTTATTTGTTTTTGCTGAATTAAAAAGTAAAAAAATGATTTCATGGTGAGAGAGAGAATGATTTTAAATTTCATTTAATTCTCTCACTCACCAATTCGTCTGAAAATCAAATTTCATTGAAATATTTTCAAAACATTAGATTTGTTATTGGATTTGCTACCAAAATCTAATATTTTAATTTAATTATATGATAATAGTTATTATACACTCACTCATGCCAATAATTATAAGTTTATTTATAATCAAGACATTTGTAATAAAAATTCAATTTCAAACAATATCTTCATTGTTGCCGAAAATTGCTTTCAATACCGCGTTTCGCTCTCCGGATTCCATAGTTCCCTTTCAAATCAAACAATGAATAATGTTTCCCTTCCAACACGAAAATTGGCACTTATTAATAAACAAAACCACACCAAACGAAATATGAACACTTGGATTACAATAGTTTGTTTAATTGAATTTTAAGTTGTCTATGCATAGATAAAAAAAATCTCTTGTACAAAATCTATGAACCTTCTCTTAATAGAGATCAATAAATATATGAACACTTGAATAATGTAGTGGAGCAACTCATAGCCCCTAGCCCACCATTCATTGCCTAGCTAGATACACTTCGACTATCTATGCAAAAAGGATGCGTCACATTCTCTAAATAGAGATCAATGAATATATTAATATTTT